GGAGTCTATCCCATTTACAATTGCACCCAAAACTATAAGATACCTAGGAATAAACCTAACCAAAGAGAATAAGAATCTATACACAGAAAACTATAAAGTAGTCATGAAAGAAATTGAGGAAGACACAGAGAAATGGAAAAATGTTCCATGCTCCTGGATTGGAAGAATAAATATTGTGAAAATGTCTATGCTACCTAAAGCAATCTACACATTTAATGCGATTCCTATCAAAGTACCATCCATTTTTTTCAAGGAAATGGAACAAATAATCCTAAAATTTATATGGAACCAGAAAAGACCTCGAATAGCCAAAGGAATACTGAAAAATAAAGCCAAAGTCAGTGGCATCACAATTCCGGACTTCAAGCTCTATTATAAAGCTGTCATCATCAAGACAGCATGGTACTGGCACAAAAACAGACACATAGATCAATGGAACAGAATAGAGAGCCCAGAAATAGACCCTCAACTCTATGGTCAACTCATCTTCGACAAAGAAGGAAAGAATGTCCAATGGAAAAAAGACAGCCTCTTCAATAAATGGTGTTGGGAAAATTGGACAGCCACATGCAGAAAAATGAAATTGGATCATTTTCTTACACCACACACGAAAATAGACTCAAAATAGATGAAAGATCTCAATGTGAGACAGGAATCCATCAAAATCCTTGAGGAGAACACAGGCAGCAACCTCTTCGACCTCAGCCGCAGCAACATCTTCCTAGGAACATCGCCAAAGGCAAGGGAAGCAAGGGCAAAAATGAACTATTGGGATTTCATCAAGATCAAAAGCTTTTGCACAGCAAAGGAAACAGTTAACAAAACCAAAAGACAGCTGACAGAATGGGAGAAGATATTTGCAAATGACATATCGGATAAAGGGCTAGTGTCCAAAATCTATAAAGAACTTAGCAAACTCAACACCCAAAGAACAAATAATCCAATCAAGAAATGGGCAGAGGACATGAACAGACATTTCTGCAAAGAAGACATCCAGATGGCCAACAGACACATGAAAAAGTGCTCCATATCACTCGGCATCAGGGAAATACAAATCAAAACCACAATGAGATACCACCTCACACCAGTCAGAATGGCTAAAATTAACAAGTCAGGAAATGACAGATGCTGGCGAGGATGCGGAGAAAGGGGAACCCTCCTACACTGTTGGTGGGAATGCAAGCTGGTGCAACCACTCTGGAAAACAGCATGGAGGTTCCTCAACATGTTGAAAATAGAACTACCCTATGACCCAGCAATTGCACTGCTGGGTATTTACCCTAAAGATACAAACTTAGTGATCCGAAGGGGCACGTGCAACCAAATGTTTATAGCAGCAATGTCTACAATAGCCAAACTATGGAAAGAACCTAGATGTCCATCAACAGACGAATGGATAAAGAAGATGGTATATATACACAATGGAATACTAGGCAGCCATCAAAAGAAATGAAATCTTGCCATTTGCGACGACGTGGATGGAACTAGAGGGTATCATGCTTAGCGAAATAAGTCAATCAGAGAAAGACAACTATCATATGATCTCCCTGATATGAGGGAGAGGAGATGCAACATGGGGGGTTATGGGGGTAGGAGAAGAGTAAATGAAACAAGATGGGATTGGGAGGGAGACAAACCATAAGTGACTCTTAATCTCACAAAACAAACTGAGGGTTGATGGGGGGAAGGGGGTTGGGAGAGGGGGGGTGGGGTTATGGACATTGGGGAGGGTATGCGCTATGGTGAGTGCTGTGAAGTGTGTAAACCTGGCGATTCACAGACCTGTACCCCTGGGGATAAAAATATATTATATGTTTATAAAAAATAAAATTAAAAAAAAATTTTTTGGTATTTTGAAAATTCATTGTTTCTCAAAACAGCATTTACTCACAATTAGCATATTAAATATTTGGACTGATGTTCTATTTTACAGTCCTTAATAATTTCCTCATAGCCACTTAAATCATATACAATTAATTTAGAATTGGGTCCACTTCAGACTTCCTGGATTTTCTTATGAGCTGAAGAGAATTATTTACTTAGGCAAATTAACTGTGTAAATAAGAGTCTTTTTAGTTGGTTCCCCTAAGAAGCCAAAGTATTTTTAAGAAGCATCATTTGCATGTATAAAATTAATGTATAGATGAGCCTCATCTAACATTAAAGTGTAGTCTTCACTTTGAAAACATTTTTATAGGCAATCAGTTTATATTCTTACATACTTTATATTCTTACATACTTTGAAACCAATTAAACTGCTTTTACTTTTAAATACTGGCTAACCTAAGTCACAAAGTCATAGTTTACCCACCCTCTCCCTTGTTACCAGTCAGCCTTTTGCATAGATTATCAAATGTATTCACACTTTGAACGTCCCCTTTTTTAACATTTAAAATGACTTCTGTAAATTTCTGTCTTTTCTCACTGGCAACCTTCATGCCAAAGTAAGCATGTCTTGTGTAATACTGAGCTCGGCTATCCTGGATCAAGGAGCTTGGGGGTAGGGGCAACCAGTAAGGTACTTTCCTTTGGGAATACCCCATAATCTAGTGCCAAGTTCATTGCGATTCATAGCCTAGGACAATAACCAGTTGTCTTGGTTTCTATAATATTTCACAGGCAGTTTCTAAGGTTTTGTTTTTTTTTTAATTTCCTAGGGGAGCTGGATTCTACTCTGTCATTTCTGCTATGGTCTGTTATAGTTCTAGTTGTGGATTTCTTTTGTTCAGGAGTAGTTAAAAGTCAAGTGTAAACATTTGCTGATTAAAGTTATTGACATACTTTTTCTATTCCTCATGCTTTAGTAAGTCTAGAAAAAGGTCTTTTAATCTACAGCTTAAGGCAAAAACATGTTTTTCATGATTTTCAAGTGTAATTTTGATAAATCACCCTTGAAGGAGAAAGAATGTTTTTGTATCAGAACAAAAAATAAAACTTTTTAAAAATGGTTTCATTTTTTTCTTATGCATATTACCTCTTTTTTCTATTAACCATCACAGAGAAAAGCTCCAGCCTTTGGAACTTATCTCACTAATTCAAGGTCAACCAAATTAACAGCCGAGTAACACTAAGTAGAAATCAAGAAAGAAATATTTTTTAAAATAAGTGTCATTCTCCTTTCACACAGGCATTAAAGTATTATCCAAACAAGGTATGGAAAGCTGTCGTTTTTATGATGCTGCTTGTGTTAGGCAGCCAATAATCTGACTTCCCTTCGCCACATTTTTTGTCCTCTTTTATACCTCCAAATATCTAATATATTTAAATGAGATACATTGTTTTATTCATCCATACAGGCCTGCATTTAGGAGATAGAAAAATTGATATAGTCAGGTTCCTTACAGTTTGTGATGTTTGAGGCTATTTTCCTGTTTATGGGTTGAGGATAATATTGGAGTTGTGAATACTGTTCATCTTATTCCGTTGTTACACTGTTACTACACAGTAGAATATTGTAGCATACGTATGGAGAAACTCCAGAGCCACAGAGAAAAGACATCCAAGATGCTAACATGTGGACTTATCAAAAAACAAAGGCAGCTTGTTACCCAATCGATCTGTGATGAGAAGCTTTCGATGATTTATTCTTTAATATTAAAGGGCAGGGTCACTCTTTGTTGATGGCAGATCTCAGCCATGAGTGAGAGGGACCAACATACGAGAACCTGGAGGAAATGGGCACTGTTGCAGTGAGCAGAGGAAAACTTGTAAAAAACTTAACTGGTATCTTTAGGAAGATGAGAAAAGAGGTTGCATCTCTAAAACAAATGATTAAATGGTAACATAAGAAAATGTGCTAGACCTAAAGACCATGAGTGTTCAGGCTGTGCCTGTACAAAGATTTATATGCCTAATCCAAGGCCTATTATCATGAAATGTAAAAACATCAAGAATAAAATTAATCTCCTAAAAGCTTTCAGAAAGAAAGTGGAGAGCATAGTTTGTGTGAGTGAATCTGCACATCTCATCAGAACCTTGCCAGCATGAAAAAAAAAAAAAAAAAAAGAGTATGAAATTCCGATGGCCAGTATTTTTCCCTTTGGAATGCTGTGCACAGCCGCTCCATCAGTCAATGGTATGGATTAGGACATGTTCAGATATGCTAAGACAGTAACAACAAAATTTCCCTGGCATTCTTTTTGGTGAAGTTCCTGAAAGAATTCTCCAGCAGAATTAAGCAAAATAGAGTAATCAAGAAATAAGAATACATAGGATTCAGGAGAAAGGGAAATGGGGGGGGAAAAAAGGAAACCAAAGAGCAACATAGAAGGATGAAACCCAGTTCATTATGAAAGCAACACACACTTGAAGAAAGTAGGAATGGCATTTCCAGCAGGAAAAAAAAAAAAAAAATAGAATCCATGAATTATGTGTGTAGCACATTGAGTGTTTGGAAAACAGTATTGATTTTTGATCAATATGATGGAGCTTATGGAAACATGAACATGGGTACCTAGAAATGCAGCAAAAAAATTTTTAAGAGACTGTTACTAACTCTCAGAAAAATTAAACATTGTAGTAAAAGAAAACATGATGGTAGGTTTACCAGTTGTCTCTGCAGTGAATGGTACCTTTGCAGTTTATACTAATGCAAATACAATTAATTTTAAAACTGTGCAGGGATTAAATTGGGAGGGGATGGATAGAGTAGTTTAAGCGGCTAAATCTTCATTTACTATAGTAGAGAAGTTAGTAAAATGCTGCTTAAATATCAATAAGTCTGGAAATAGCAGAATAAGCATCAGTTTTAAAATATAGAAAAAAAGAACAAAGAGACATTCAAAAGAATTAAAAATGAGTGTCCCTTCAGGATGACAGGGACCACTGTTACCCATAAACTTTTTCAGTATGTAGGACTCTATAAATACTCATTGCAAATGTCCCTTTCCTAAAAAACAAAATTTATTTTTAAAAGGAATTATGGCATTTAAAATGTCAAAGAAATAGAATAATTATGGATTGTATTCAGCTTCCAACATGTTTGTTGTGTTGTTTTCTAGAGTTCCTGGAATAACTCTGGCCACAGATATTATCTGTGGTTTTCCTGGAGAAACAGATCAAGATTTTCAAGAAACAGTGAAGCTTGTGGAAGAGTACAAATTTCCAAGCCTCTTTATTAACCAGTTTTACCCAAGACCAGGAACTCCTGCTGCGAAAATGGCGCAAGTTCCAGCCCAAGTGGTAAGATACTTCTCTTGTAAAAAGTATTAGATTCGTTAGCCAATAGCTACAAAACTGCAACTCTGTTGCCTGGCTTAACACAACTGACTCATGGGCACCTGGTGGCTCAGATGGTTGTGTCCGCCTTCGGCTCAGGTCATGATCCCAGGGTCCTGAGATCGAGTCCCACATTCGCCTCCCTGCTCAGCAGGGAGCCTGCTTCTCCCTCTCCCTCCGCTGCTCCCCCTGCTTGTGTTCTCTCTCTGTCTCTCAAATAAATAAACACAGCTGGCTCATGGTATCACTTTTAAGTTAAACAGTGTGGAGAGTTTTCAAGATGGGGGCTAGGGCAGGGGACCTTGGATGACTTCAGTAACTTTAGGCCCCTAAAATATCACCTTTTTTTCTTTTGAGAAGTGGGGTTCTGATGACACGGGGGAAAAAATAATCTGGTATCACCTGTGTTGATAAGAGAAATCCTTGGATATTTGAAAAGAAGCTTACATTTAGATATCTGTGAGCAAAAGAAGCTTCATGTTTACCCTGATTACCATAATTTGTTCCTTACTGGGGGCCCCACATCTTCCCTCCTTTTCCATGGAATAGATTTGGTACCTGCTATCTGTCTGTCTAGTTCAGATTTGTGTTGCTTTCACACAAATGAACCTCAACTTAATTTCATCCTTACATGTTCAGAAATGTATTAGAATAAGATAATCTAAAATGAATGTGAAAAAGTTTGAGATCCAGTAAAGGCAGCCTGTTTTTCAGAATGCCTCAGAAATTAGTGGTCTTAAAGTAATTTAATTTCTAGATTCATTGGCCAAAGATGAAAAAATGTTAATAAGCTTTAAGAGGAAGTCATAGGTTTTTAACTGAAATTTTTGTTTTGTTTCAAATAACTAAAAGAAATTATGCTCTACCATTAATTTTCCTCAAAGCTTACATGAATAAATACTAAAAGGAATAACCCGGAGCTTATTATTTTTTCTATTATGCCATATGTGAATATCAAGCCTAAAACATACAGATTTTTTATTTCAACATACCAAATGTATTTTTTATTTGCATAGATATAATATATTTTAAAGTCTGGTTTCCCCCCCAAAACTGAAGGGAATATCATTCTTTGTTTTCTCAAAAATTTTGACATTTTTATTTGACAAGTTTCTGTGTATACAAAGGTAAGAAAATCTTTTACAAGCAGACTGTTTAATTTTATTTCTAATTTAATCAATGAAAAGAACAGATTATAGCACCATGGAAGTCAACTTTTCACAAACATAAAAATAAGTCAAATTAATTCCTTACTTTTATGTCTAAATTTTAATTGCTTTTATTGCATATGGCAAAATTCACCTTTTTTTGGTCTGCAGTTCTTTGAATTTTGATAAATGCATCCACTGCTGTAACTACTATCCCAGTCCGGGGATAGAACAGTTTCAGCAGCTCCCCAAAATGTCCTTTTATCTTTTTTGTAGTTCCCTGCTGCCTCCCTCCCTAGGTCCTGGAAACTACTGGTCTCTTGTCCTTATAGTTTAATCCATTCTTACTTAAACTTTACTTCTTTAGTAAGAAAGTTTCTTGCCCTGTAACCTACCTGCAGAAACACGTACAGCTGCACATTTTTCTAAAGTGAACACTGCCGTGTCCCCTGGAACATGACTGGAGCCCAGAGCCCAGAGTTCCCCCCCCCTACCCTGCCCATCCATTCTCTCCCATTCCCCGCCAGAAAGCGCTGTCCCTTAGAGTAACACCAGACACTCACTTGCCTTGTTCTTCAACTAGATATAAATGGAAGAATTTATCAGTGTTTGAATGTCTGGGTTTTTTGTTTTGTTTTGTTTTGTTTTTAATGTAATTCTTACTATTTTTGCTTTTCAGTGAAAGTAATATTTGCCACACAGTGTTGCCTGAAGTCTTTAGGCTCACTGTTCAGGGTTAATAAGAGATGGCTTTTTCTACTGAATTTATAAAACACTTAGCTTTAGCAGTAAATAATTTTTCATCTTTTTCTTCGTGGTTTATTATTATACAGCTTTTGAGGATAATACACATGTCCCAAGATTTCACATGTGAAAAATCTGTGCATCTCTCTTCCTGGAGTTGAACCTGTTGCTCGTTGAGATTGTCCGTATTTATTTCAGGCGCTGTGACAGTCCCTCTGATCTGCCCTGAAATAGTCAGTCACCAGCTGTCCTGGGGCGGCATCTTCCAGCCCCCAGATTTTTCTTTTTTTTTTTGAACAATGTTATGGCAATGAGACTCGTCTGTCTTTGCACGTGCCTATAGTTCATCCATTTTCATTGCTGTATAGTATTCTATCGCACACACATTTATCCATCCTGATGTGGAAATACAATTCGGTATGTTCAGCATTCCAGTATCAGTACAGTGACCAATACCGCTGTCAGTGTTCTTCTCTAGACCTTTTGTTTGACTCATCAACGCAAACATGTCTGCTGGGTGTGTAGCAAGGAGTGTAACCTCTAGGTCATAGAAATACAGTGGATCTGCTTTATATTGCCAAATAGTTTTCTAGAATCGTTGCCTAAATTTACATTTCCCCCAGCGATATATAATCATGTTAGTAGCTCTGTATTTTTGCCAGCACTTGGCATTGTTATGTTTCTGTTAGTAGCCATTTTCATGGGAATGCACTGTAATCTAATGGTGGTTTTATAGTTCCCTATTAACTTATGACAGCAAATACTTATTTGTTGATATAAGGATATAATATTTGGATATAGTTTTTCATGAAGCCCCTATTCAGACCTTTTGCCCATTTATCTATTGGTTTGCCTGCCTCCTTTCTCCCCCACTCCCCTTCCTCTGATTTGTAGGAATTATTTGTTAGTTTGGAGTTCAAGTCATGGTAATTTAAAGATCTTCCATTCTTTAACCAGTTTTTTCACTTTCTTACTGCTGTCTTTTGGAGACCAGACATAGTCTGTTTTAATATGGTAGAATTTATTAGATTTCCTTTTGTTTGGAGTCCTATTTCAGGTTACTTCCCCACACCGCCATGAATACACACCTCAGTGTACTCATCCAAGAAATTTTACTATTTTCCCTTTTACCTTTAGATCTTTAATCCACATGGAATGTATCTGTGTTTCACCGTAAGGTGTGGAGGTCAAGAGTTTTGCTTTGTTTTGCTTTCTATAAGGATATCCACTTGAGTTAATGCGACTTATGGAATCTCATCTTTGCCCACTCTCTGCCTGGGCCCCTTTATCATAAATCAGGTGTCTGTCTGTATGTATGCACCTGTTCTGGAACTTTACCCTGGTTTTTTGATCTGTCTGTCCATCTTTCTACCAGATCACAGTGTTAATTACCATAGCTTTATAATAACTGTTGACACTGCAGTATATACCTCTCAGCTCTCTTTTTCTTCATCATTTTCCTAACTATTCTTGGCCCTTTGCCTTTCGAAATTTGTCAACTTACACCAAAATATTTTGCTGGCATTTTGATTGAGATTGTTTTGATTCTGTAGATCACTTGAGGGGAAATTGACATTGACTATCTGATTCTCCATCTTTGAATAAAGTATCTCTTCTTTATTTTAATCTCCTCTTTCTCTCAGTGATGTTTTATAGCTTTCCGAATATGAGCCCTTCTCTCCTGTAGCCCCCTGCTGGGTACTTTTCTTTATATTTATCCTGCTTGGAACTCTTGGGGCTTCTTCATTCCACCCTAGTCTCTTTCATCAACTCTGCAAAATATTAGCCATTCTGTCTTCAGGGATTCCTTTTGCTCCATTCTCCATCCCTTCTGGGATTTCCATTATATATGTTAGATATTTTCGTTATGTTCCCCAATGTCTACACTATCCTTTTTTATACTTTTCATTCTTTGTTCTCTTTGGGTCTCTGGATTTTTTTTCTCTTTTCCCATTTTTTAGTTTCCTGATATTCACAGCAGTCACTGGGCCAACAAGAGCAGTAGTAGCACACCGTGTTCCCTCGAGGAGGGACACTGCTGTCCCCACGGGGCTGCTGCAAAGGCAGACTCCCAGCTGCCACCCCAGACCTTCTGTCATGGTCTGCATCTCCAAGCAATTTGTGTGTGCATTAATATTTGTGAGGTGGTCTTCTGGTTCACTAAGCCTCTCTTCATCTGTGTTCAATCAGCTGTCCAACCCACCTATGGAATTTCTAATTTTTAGTTAATTAATTTCTTCTTCTAGCAGTAAAGTTTGTTTTTTTCTTCATGGATTCTAGTGTTCTGGTAAAATTCCTCATATTTTCCTTTGTAGTCTTTGAACATATTACTCGGTTATCTTAAAGCTCATTCTGAATTCTCTAGTATCTGGTTGTAATATTGGTTGTTTCTGTAGTCCTTTTTTCTTTTCTTTTTTTTTTCTTCATTTTGATCATTTGTCTTTTCTTTCTAAGTACCTGATCATTTTTGTTAAATGGTGACCATTGTTTGTTTAAAAACAAAATGAAACAATAGGTTCTAGACAGTAATGTATCTTCCTCCTAGGAGGACTTGATTGTGCTTCTTCCACGCTCTAAGGGAAGGATTGATTATTGTAATTGGTCTGAGATTGATTTTTTAATCTCTTTTTCAGCCTTTCTGAGGTTTGGTGTATTTCTGGTTTGCCCTTCCTTTTCGAATGCAGCCAGTGATGTGCTGGGCAGTGCATGACCAACTCTCGGTGGGAAGGCTTCTTCCTTGTGGCATTTGTTCATTTCCATCAACTGCTGCCAGTTTCTGACCGCCTGTGTGGCCCACATGAATGTGGAATTGGAAAGAGATGTACATAGTCAGCTCTCGTGAGCTGGTAGAAAGCCACATGCAGTGTACCGACCAGTGTACCTCTTCAGGGCCTCATCGGACAGTCTGTGGTGCTTACCAGGCCTTTTTCTCAACTCTAATCTTTGTCTCCCCAGGCTCATGAGAATGCCAAAGGCTCTGCATGGCCTCTAGGTCTCTTAGCTTTTGCTTGGTTCCTTGGCCTCCTGGCCACTGCTTACAAACCGATACAGACATAGAAGGAAACAGTGCTC